TTAAAATATTAATATTTTTTAATAAATTTATTATAAAATAATTATTTAATTTAATATTTTATAATTTAAATTATTATTTTAATGATTTGGAATGAATTTGACACACACTTTCAGAATTTCAATCATTTTTTATATTTTAATAATCATTTTTTTAGTCTTTATTTTTAGTGAATAAATATAAAAAAATTATATTTTTTTAATAATTATCCATCTTAATATTATTTATATATATATTAAAATCACGAAACGCCTTAAATTTTCTAGTTATATATAATAAATATTTAACTTTTTTGTCAACTATTAAAATACTAGATTATTAAAAAGTGTAACATAAAGTGGTTGCATATAATAAATTTATACGTGTACGTGCTGAATTTGGTGACAATGTATTTTACAACTTTCTCCCCATACAGGTTTGGCCAAAATTACAAAGCATTTCAGCTGCCTGCAGTTATTTGGATACTTCAAAATACTATTTTCAGATTTATAATAGGTGATGGACTAAAAATAAATAAATATTATGTTGATTTTTTAATAGAATATTAATTATTTTTTCTACTTATTTTTAAATAATATAGTTTATTTATTTAATTTTTTAATGAAAGTATTTTTTTAAATAAAATAAACACTCTTTTACTTTTGATATATTTGTCTAAATCTATTTTTTTTTAAAGTAACTTTCTGATTTTTTACAAAGTACCTCCTATTTTTTTAAAGAATTAATTTTTTTAAAACAATTATTTAAAAATACTTTTTTTAATTTTTTTAATTATAAACATCAATTATAAAGTTTTTTACATCAAAATTAATTTTAAAGTTAATTATATAAAAAAAATTATTTATTAAATTTTTTAATTTAAATTAAATAACTGAAGACACTACTTATTACCAATTAAAGATAAGAATATAAAGAAAAGTAATAGCTGAGATGCAATCATGCAAACGATGTTAGTCAAAGTACTCGTGCATTCAAGTACTCATTTTTCTATAGCAAAAGTGTGTTAGTACGAGATAATCGTAAAATATTGAAAAATCTATGAGGTGATTCGATACCTTTGATTATTGTACGACAGCAATTTATTTTTCAATCGCTCAAACTCCTTTATTATGTATTTTGATAATCAAAAAGTAAGTAAATAAATAATAAGAAGTAGAAAAATAAAAATAAAAAAGAGAAAAATAAATTAATTGAAATATG